CCAAGCACCCGCGCCACCGCGCCGGCCCCAACGCCCTCGACGGCCTGCTCGCCTCCGAGGAGACGCAGTACAGGCGCCGGGTGAAGGAGAAGATGGCGCTGGGCCACTTCCGGCCAGAGGGCATCGGTGAGACACTCGTTCCTTTGCGGTTTTCTTCTGCACAGCCGCGGATTACGGACGGGCCGACGAACGTAAGCCTACGCCTCGTAAGGTTACATGGGCGACGTTAGCTTAAGTGTGGTCAGGCGAGTTGGCTTAACGTTCAGGCCCGCAAGGCAGGCTCTGGTAGAGAGTGCCTACTTTTTGGCTGAAGGTTACTTTAGGCGATAGTAAGAAATATTAATTACTTGATTCTTTCTCTGCTACTTTGCGATGGTTGATACATTAAAGTTCTAGAACACCGATTTTTCCCCGCTTAGTTTATGTACCCTTGTTTCTAAATTCAGTAAAGATAAGCAATTTATTTAGGTTTTATAACAGTCTTAATTTCGTAAAATTGAATAATACAGCAAATGTTCCACTACCGTAATAATCATAGATTGATGAATTCAAATTTGTTAAAGGATATATTTATTATTAAAAGTAGTAACAATGCGTTTGCTATACACTTTTGTAAAAAGGGATAAAAGTCTTGCGGGCGAGCCCGCACTCATTTCGTTACGCTATTTGTCCGCTCTCTTTCTCGAACACATCACTAAGCGCGATGAGCTCATGACCTACGAATTGGCGTTCGGTGACCGGTCATGGCTCATGGGCCTCGCGGTGCTATGGATGGGGAGACAAACAGGTAGAACCTTCAGTAAAATTAAATCCTACTTTAACCCGTGCGCAGCTCACCTCCATGCTTTCGCGCAGAAAAAGTTCGCAATATCGACACACCAAGAAGTCGGCAAGCCTTTTTAGGTTACGGCGACTTCCAGGCTGACAACACACCTATGTGTGTTTGTGTTATTATTGCTGAGAGTCGCTTTTATCTCCTTAATTACCTAATCAACTGCAATATAAAACAAGTAGCAGGGGAAAACTGAAGGCTAGAGAAAAGGTTTAGGAAATGTTGCGGTGGCAGTAAATTTTCCACTGTTGCAGGCGAGCATGGGTCCATCCCCGGAGAGCCCGGTGTCGACTACCCGACCTACAGCAAGCCGCCCGTGCCCAGCTTCTCCTGCCTGGACTTCAAGGGGCGGCGCGGATATGTTGCTGACCCGTCCACCCGCTGCCAGGTACGTCGAAGAACCACGCTTCGGTTAGAACGTTCCTTAAATGCTCTTATCCGCAAACCAAGACTTCTTGAATTGTGACATGAAAGTGGGATGGCGGCTGATTTTCAATTACTCTATTTCCATGAGAATTAACTTTTGTCATATTGTACCTAGCGAGTCCCTTGTACATGTCACTTCCGTCTATGACTTCATACATCGTCGTTTCAAATTGAGTTGCGTTTTTTATCTGGTTTCGTCGAAAACCGTCAAGGGTATAATGTCCACGTCACAGACCTTTACTACAAATGTGGACTCACCAATGCGCCAAGGCATTAAACTCAAATCTATTTCTAATCTATTTGCTCACCCGACCCGGCGGTCACCCGACAAATACGAATGCTTTTCACAAAAAGAAACTAATTTATATCTACAATATTCTCAATTTCCATGTATTAATGTATAATGCAAGAGATTAATGCTGAAAAAATAATTAAAAATCAAACTTGAAATAGTTTTAGTTCTAAAAAATATAGCTACACATATTAACGTTGTAAACGAATTACAGACGAGTCGTTTATGTTCTCAAAATAAATCTTGATTAAGAATGGAAAGTATAATGAAATATTCTGCTACAATATATTCCTTTGTACAAATTTCATATTTTGACTTTCCACCTAGTCAACTCAAAAGATTCACCGACACAAATGACAATGCTTTAGCGGGTCTTTAACTAAGGGACAAAAAAGTGACGAATTTTCTAATACTGCTGTATTGAAATTGAAAAGTCATCTGTTCCGTTATTCATGTGTCAAGAAATTCAGGAGACGGCTCTTAATAACACTGTAATCGCGATCAAGTTCATTGACGACTGAAGACATCAGAGCAGTCATTTAGAGACAGCACTATCACCTGCCCATCCATACTCAACATTAAGCTTCCGAATGATCAGCGTGGCTGTCTATTACAGTGGCCCAGGAAAATCTCTCCGCACCGAGCCGAGGCTTCCTTATAAAAATTGTATTTATGTTGGTTGCAAACAGATCAAGGGGAAATAATTGACGGATTCAACACTTGCAACATCTATGATGATTGTGGTGATTACGCATTTTTCTTTTGTTACAAGTTTCACTCATCCGTATCCGTTTATAGACAGTGATTCAGAAACATTATTTAAAAAAATCAAATACAAAGGATATTAAGACGTCAACATGTTTATTCAAATTAAAATATCATAAGTGTAATTCTACACTTTCTTCGATAGTAGTCACCAAGAGTTATTTTTACAAAGTCTACTTGTTGCACTACGCATTTCGAGTCTGTGAGGTCTCTTCATCAGGTGCATTCTCTCTAAAATTAATACAATTATATTAAACACAGTATTAAATATAAGTCCCCGCTATGTGACTGATATTAAAAAGTATGGTTTCTACAAAAATTCTGATTTGAGTATTGGAAAATATTTTTCTAATTCCCTAGCGATTGATTTATCAATTTTAAATACATAATGCATTATGCGAGATAATAAAAGTAGACAAGAAGGCCAACAACTAAAAAGAAGTAAAAATAATTTTGCAGAATCACTGTCCATAAACTAGAATAGGTAGGGATGAGTGAAACTTTAAATACTTTACGAGATAGTGCAATTATAGAAAAAAATCTTTTGATACAAATTGCGGCTCGTGCTATCAACATAATTTCTGTTACTAGCACTCTCACCAGCAAGGAGTGAATGCGTAGAAACTTTCCTGGCGCACTCTAATTCTACCTCTTGCCAAGCAGCGTCACTTTCTCTTTGTCTACCTTGAGTTCGTCCCGAGTGGTACAAGCAAGCTGTTGCTACGCCATTGTCTCCACTATCCTTCCAATCATTTCTTCTAAAACTCTTTTGCTAAAAATGGATTACGACGTCTTAATCTTTGCTTTCACCATCCCGTGACATTTTATATTTTCGAGCTTATCCGAAACACTTTAGAAACGTCTTCTCCGTAGCACCTATCTCACGATTATTGAGCTCCATACTTTTTTTTAACATATTCTTAAAGACATTCATTCCTCTCCCATGCCAACAAGTCTGTACGATTTAAAAAAAATCATCTGTCTATATCTTGTTTTAGTACGTAGCTGGCGGAAGTTAGTGGCTCGTCGCTGCTCTTGTTACAGGTCTTTTACATCTGCCCGGGAGATGGCCGAGGAAAGGCCATGCTCTGCCCCAATGGAACGGTCTTCAACCAGGACGTGTCAGTGTGCGACTGGTGGTTCAATGTGAAATGTAGCGGGCCTTGAAAAACATCGAAGAAATGCAAGTTACTATTCTTTGCTTCAGCTTTAAAGAAGCTTGAAATACAAATGTGCAGTTGAGCATTTGAAGAAATGGACATCCCAGTGAATGAACGAGTCAATCGCATCAGTGTTGTCAAGAGATTTGAACTTAAAAAATGAGTCATTCTCAGTTTTCCTTGAAGCTAATCTTTGTTTGTGTATTATATAAACTTCTCAAGCAAGATGCAGTGATTATTCTGGTGTACTAGTATTTCATGTCAGAAGAAAACATCCACCAGTGTGTTCAACTGCAGAGTTAGTTCTAGTTCTGATCACCTGTTTTCAGCAATTGGTTTATCACTATTCGTCTGATTACATTAACAGGGTGATGCACAAAACGTTTTCGTTAAAAATGAGATGATTCTGCAATTGCACTCAAGCATTAACATTTTCAATGGAAGCAACTTTCAGAGCTATTGTGACTTCAAAATATATATTCATTCTGAAAATTGAGATGAGTAGTGGTTTTGGCCTAAAGTGTATTACAATAATATGTAAGTTACATGGTTGAAAGAAATGGACAAATACACCCGTCAGAAACTGTCAATTCAGTTTTATATTATTTCTATTTTCAGTAGTGAAATGTAATTTGAAATATGAAATATTGTTGACAATTTAATAACAAATTCAATAATTTTTATCCATTGTCGTTTGAATTCAGGGAGGAAATTCTGCAAATCAAACTGTCATGAAGAGACAATATTTCATCAATCTGTGCCCCATTCATTTACACCAATTACCTTCTAAGAAAATGTAAAGTGCATCACTTTGAATTCTGTGTGTTTCTTTGAAGACAAGATTAACTTTATTACTAAAATAAAAAGGAAACAATCTGAAAATTAAAACAGGTGATAAGTTTCACTTTACATAAATTTAAGGAGTTTTTGACTCAAAACTTAAAATATTAAAAATGCTAGCAATTCAAAAGGGGATGGTTCATCTAAACAAATTCAGTACTTTATATCAATAATTTTATTCTTCTTGATTTCTAGTTAACCTACAGAACAAAGTCTAATAGTTCTGAAAACCTGTTTGTTGTATACTATAACAATTTTAAGAAGCATTATTTATTTCTCTTTTATACCATTCCAAAATTAATTTATTAGAGTTATATTTAAATACTTCAAAGTTAAAAAATGTACAGTTTGTCATATAAATTATCATCATTAATACATAAAACTCCTTAATGGTCTCATGATTCCACTAGTCAAATCAATTACAAAATATTTAAGTTTTCATTACCATAAATATTGTATCAAAAGACACTAAGCTGATGTAAAGGCACTTCAAGTACATTTACGTAATTACTGGACATGAAAATTAATGACTCAAATATTTGAATAATATTCAAATTATAACTAATTTAATATTTCTTTGTGTCATATATTGTGTTGTAAGTGCAAGAATCAATGATGTTGCAAATACATTAACAATATCTACAGAAAATAAAATATTTTCTTACAAACTTTGGTCTGTGGAGCATTATGGAAGTCGCTGAGATCTGAAGTTGAAAATGTACAAGTCAATGCAATGTATATATTTCAATATTCAGAGATGAGATGTTTAATCCTAAATTATAAAAAAATAATTTTTTTGAATGAACATTGATATTAATCTTAATTCAAAACCATTATTATTTATAAGAATACATTCCTCATCTTTGTTAAATGTAAACATTTAGTGAAATAAACATTTAACATAATTTATTTTACTTCAGAAATCCTAACCTTTTTTTCAGCCATGTGTATTTGATCGTGACATCCACAGAAGTGACAGAAGATCTCTTATTATTCCTGACAATTTGATTTTTTTGTCACCTTGTTCATTTGGAAGACTATTACAATTGTATGTTTCTAGAGAACCAAAATGCTTTATTATTATAACTTTTTTTTAAATGATCAAAGTATTAAAAGACAGAAATGTGAACTCAAATGAAGAAAAAAACCAATATACTAATAGAATTTTGTATTCGAATTTAATGTCTGAGTATTATTCATCTTTTTTTGTAAAGTAGAATTTGGAAAATCTGAACATTGGGAATATGACATTCAAAGTTGAAAATGTCTCATCACATATATGCAGTGAAAACAATACTTAAGTTCTTACAAGAGAGAAATTTAGTTTGGATGTAATATCTCACAGAAAGATACGTTATAAAATGAGATATAAATAAAGTTGTCTCTATTACACAATAAAAAAAATCTTTGCCAACTATTTACACCCCAATTAAAAATGCCAACTATTATTTCTGAAGGCAATGTCATCTTTAAAATTCTCACAAAAAATAAATATTTACGCAGAAATGGTCCAATGGTTTTCTAACAATCTTCATAAAACATACAATGGTATGAGATTACATTTTCACATCTCATTGAAACTGCATAATGCAAACTGTATAATGGCGACTTTCTTTATTATTTTGAAAACATGCAATGAAAAATAATACCAAAGATTGAATCAGTTATTGGCGATATTATATACTGGTGAATCAATTTGAATAAATGATGAGTTCAACTTCGACAGTTGCAGTGGATTGAATAACTTTCAATAAAACCATTTTCTACTCGTCAAGCGTTGACAAATTGCGTACCAAAACACAAGTAACTTCAAAACATCTACAAACCACAATTAAAGTTAGAATATTTAAGTACACGTTTATACAACACAATCATATAACAGTCATATCAATAACATAAGATTCACTCTAGACGTACTCTGAGCTAAAATAACAATCTTAGTTTCATTACCACGTCATCTCTCAAGAATTACAAAACAACAGAACACTTCTAAAGCGATTTTTTTTACCTTGACTCCGAGTTGTCCTTTTCAATACAATAATAATCGCGAATTGATCAGCAGAAACGCACACCACCAGCAAGGCAACGAGGTGAATCCCTGTAGAAAGACGTGCGCGGCGGGGCTGGCGGTCGGTGAAGCGGTCACTAGAGCTTTTCCACCTCGTCCACGGTGTCTGGCAGGCGCGTGCCCAGCGTCTCGGGCAGGGCGAGGGTGAACAACGAGGCGATGAGCGACACGCCGCCAAACAGTAGGAGCGGCAGCGGCGCGTAGACCTGGCCCTGTTCACAGCCAACAATCAATCAATCAATTCAACAAAACAAATAAATAAGCACTTACACATAAAACAATTCCCATGAATTTTCTCTACTAATAATCTTAAGGCTGCGCCTCATTACAATTAATGTGCCAAAATAACCCCTAATATAATATTATTCAAAGAAAGTCACATGTTTAAACAGATTATTGCTGAAATAGAATTATTGTTTTTGAAATAAAGGAGAAAATAGAAAGGTAAAATTATGGATTAAAATAGTTTGTACAATTTTTAGAAGCCAGTGAGGGAAGGCAACGGCATGGCAAAATTTTGAACTAAATTTCAAAAATTTTTTATAATGGTCAATTTCAAATTTCAATTCTGCAACAATGAGAGGTAATATCTCGTCATTTAATGTGATTGAAGTACAATTTTTGGCTCTAGCCTTTCTCCGTAACCTTTGATTTTTTTCTTGAAAACTATTCTTTAGGTTTCCAAATGGTGGGCATGTATTCCGACACGATTCTTGAGCTCCGGGATTACATCTTCTTACCATGAATAAATGTTATCACGAATAACTAATGATACTACAAAATGTCACAAACTTTCTCAATATACTTTGTGCACTTTATTTTTATGAAGTAGCTACCTTTACGGTTTTGCCCCTATTCGGCTATTATCTATCTCCGATTAAAGGACTAACCACAGCTGTATCCTATATACGTAATATATCTTTGGGTCTAACAAGGACTTCCTGCGGAACTGCCGCTCTCTGGGAGACAATTCTCAGAGCACTCTATCGCTTACGACCAGGTAGTCCTTAGGCCCATCTCGGTCCAGAATCATTAGTATTTCAAACGTGTAGGTGAATGCTAGCCCCCACGTTCACATATCAATGCTTATACTGTTGTTCTAGGTGTAGGGACCCAGTTCGTCATTTATGCACATAGGTAGATTACACAAAGATCTCATACACACACAGTTACCGGACAGGGCAAGGGATTTTTAAGAGTAAAGTACTTGTATTGTGTGATTAAATTGGTTACACTGTGTTAAGTAAGAAAGATTCATTTAAGGTTGTATTTTACTGATTAGTCGTACATAGTAAACACAAATCAACATGTAATAGTTGTAAAATTCCATGTTTGCTTTGTATTAATCAAGTATGTAAAAATAAATTATATTGCTTCTGTAATAAAGTATATAATACGCTTTGTTCATAAATGCTTTCATAAAAAAATTAAAATTCCTCTTATTTCAATTATAACCGGCTATTTCGGACGAATTAGTGGTCAGGAAAGGAGAAAAACAGAAGAACAGAAGGAGAGAGGAAAAACAGAATAACCTAAAGCCGGTTATTATTAACAACTACTGTCCTTAAAACTACCTCAGAAGTTAAAGTATCTAAGGGATAAATAAGAAGAATCACGAAAGAGACAAAAATACAAAGAAACAAAGTAAGTGCAGCACAACGTGCGTGGGGCAGATATGTTTTGCACGAGAATCGTGATTAGAGAGCGATTAGACGCACTGACGCAGCCGTTGTGTCCAAGGACGCCAAGCCCCCCGGGGCTCCGGAGCAGCAGAGGAGAGACTTGGACTATCCCATTTACGTATTCAGCCATACTATCATAAAAAAATACAATCTGATCGAAATAAAGTCCATAGGAAGTCAGTTAAAGCTTGGTTGACAACTAACATAAAATTCACAGAGAACTTCAAATCGATACCATTACAGAATATATATAAAAAGTAGCAAATAATGTCTATTCTTCCCTTCCTTCATTTCATTCCGCTCACAATCTCCATCTAAAACCATGCTTAAACCATCTTAAATTAATAATTTCGTGTAGAATATTTCCCCTTTCCCCTTCCTATTGCTAGCAATCATTCCAGTTTATTCCCAAAAATCAAAAATAAAATGCAATAGTAGCTAAAAAACAATTAAATGAGTCAGAGTAATTTGACCTCAATTCGTCAAGGAATGCCCAAATCCAAAAATGGCAGCATGTCATACTGAAATTCCTCGAAAGGCCTCAGGTCGAACGACAAGAAATTAATTAAAAAAAAGATCATGTATGCAGGTTTTTTTACCCTCACTGATGCCAAACGAAATGGGAGGCGTGGCCAATGAGTAATGGCAGCTGGCTCCACATATTCGGTATTCGGCGTGTTGCGAGCGACTACTCGCCAAATTCCGACGTGTAAGATGGGTTGCTTGACATTTTCCGAGCGACGATGATTCGGTGCTCGCCCTACCAACCGCATGTCCTTCTTTTGGACGCATCAAAGGAAGCAAGCATTCGCCAAGCCGATCAGCTGATCGGGACTTGGCGAGCAGTAGATGGCTACTAGGCGAATGCCGAATGCATAGAGCCGCCTTGAAATGTGGACATGACTCGAATTCATTTCACACACGTTGGCTAATTTGTTATGGAGATGTTGTTCTCCCTGATACTTCTGTCAGTACGCCAAAGGGAGAATGTTTGCATAAAATCGAAGTATTTACATAGCTAGAATGAAAAAATAACAACAAAAAACAGGAAGCAAAATTTACAATTTGACAACTTTCTTCACTCGAATTCCTCGAAAGTTTGCAAGTTGGAAAAATAACAAGTTATTCAGAATGGTTTGAAATTGCTTCCGAACATTGTTTTAAAGTATTTTGGATTCGTGAAGTAGAATATTTGAGTGATTTCCTGTTATAATAGAGCTTTTTAACAGTTTTTGAAGATACTGTAAAAAAATAATGCAGGATATGAAAAAAGACCAGCACACAGCTTATTGGCGTTTTGAAGATTGCATGTTTCACGCAATGGGCTGGAGCGTATGATCGGAACGAGCATCGCGTGTCTGAACACTAGAAAAATTGAAAACGCGGTCAATAAAAACATGAGTCATTAGGAGAAGCACAAAAGTACAAGAAAGAGGTTTCAGGTCAACCTATCGCAAATTGTAGTATTTTAGATATTTGGTACAGTACAATTATATTCTTCCCAATTCGGGTGAATTCATTCCAAGCAAAATGACCGCAAGTCTTGGCGCACCACATACATTATATTGAGCTATTAACTCGCGATAAAGTTTATCTAAAGGTAAAAACACTAATAGTATTTTACTTATCTTAAAATTGGTGCTAATGTGTTTCCCTTCCTCACATAATTAATACTAGATTTTTTTCATTTTATTTACGTTATGAAGGCTATAAATAGTCATGTACGTAGTGCTTCCATATGAGGGGCAAGATGTCGCGCTCAATTTCAGAGCTCGTTAGGGTGTCGCAGTGGGCAGAGTGTGAAAACCCCTACTGTAGATTGGGACATGTCTTTGCCTAAACCTCGCGTAGATCTTTAGTCACAGCGTCAACATACATTTTTATATAAAATTTTCTCTGAGTCACTTTTATAAATATGCGCCTGTCATTTCCCCATCAGAATGCACAAGGGACTTCTTTTCGCCAAAAAAAGAAAAATTAAGTTTGGAGGTGCTTCTGCTCGGGAAAAAATATCTCTTGAATTGAAGCCTTATTTTACATGACTCGGGCCATCAGGCCGCTTTTCCGTCTGACTACGTAAATTTCACTACACTTCTTTCTCAAACTAGCGGAAAAATGAGGTATTTCTTGGGCGACGGAAGAGGCGATTTGAGTTTAGCTCAGAGGCGTCATTTTGGCTTGCGGATCTTTTACATGCAAGTAAATCTACTAACATGGGACAGCCGACTTTACTTCCCTTCCGAAGGAAAGCGTACGAAGGAACCTAAAAATCCACGGCTTCGATCAGGTTTGAAACCACCAACTTCGGCGTAACAGTGCGATACGCTAACCGTTACACCATCGCCGCCGCCATCTCTTTGGCCCGTCCTGTTTCTCATGTCGGCCAAGGGAGTGAACCCTAAGTCTCGCAACGAGCGATGAGGAAAAACAATCCGCGACGCACTTGGGAGACAATTAGTGTAACAAGGAGCGGATGAGGATCGACCTTCCTGTCGAGGCGGTGGGCGCGGAGGCGGCAGCGGCAACAATGAAGACGACGTCGCTCGAGGAGCAGGGCGCGGCAAACAACATAATCGCAGAGCTAATTAGCGACATACAAGGTACGCAGCGACGAGGAACGGCACGCGCGGGTAGGTTGAAGTTTGGGTAGAGGGGTGGACGTACGACCGTCGGGTAAGAGGGTAAGGGTTCGGTTGGTAAGTTGAATGTTTGGTGTAAGAGTTTGTGGGTACGTTAAAATTGTATTTTTTTATATTCTATTAAAATTTTTGAGGGCATATCTCTTCGGAGTAATCTTTGCTCCATTCAGTGTGGTCAAAATTTTCGAAATCATGTAGGGTTGAATTTAGCATAGAGCGTTGCCCGCAGTCTGCAGCCACTCTGACCAGATGTACAACGTGGATTATTTGAAATACGATGTAGTAGCTAGGTCGAATTCACCCCATTTCTGAGGAAATTTAGTGGCCGGTTGCCTCATCATCAGTATTCCTGGTGTCTCTCATCCAATTTCAGAAGAAATCGAGCAGTACCCTAACAAAACGACCAAGGACAGCCTACATATCCTTCTTTCCTCTTCCTCTCCCAACCTTTCCTCTTGCTACACCTACATTGCCCTAACACTGCACACATAACGAAAGGAGACGGAAAACTTGAATCTGTCTTGCTGGCGCTAGGAAGTACTGTGTCAGATCAGCGGATTAATTTCATATTTTGGATTCTGATGCAATTCTGTGCTTTCTCTTATAAGATTGCATATAGATGTTAACGCTAAGTATTCTGTTTGTTAATAAACACACAGCAATATTAGAATGTTTAAACACCGCACAATACAAGACTATAATGAAAAGTAGTTTTCAGTCTCGGTGTTAAATTTACCAAGGCTATTGTTGTTTTAAAACAGTTTAGTAAATGCCAAGATGCTCGTAGGAGACCCACCTACTGTTTAAAAAAATCTGACAGTCAGTTAGCCCTGAATAGGTCACAATTCCAGTGGCGTAGTAGGAAGAACTTGTGGCTAGGGTTATGGAAAC